TACATACATGCAGGCAGAATACTCATAAAATTAGGAGAGAAAGAAATGAAAGAAGGATACAAAAGAAAGAAAGAAAGAAAGAAAGAGAAAGGAAGAAAGGATATCTGAATTACTTAAAGCTACCTTTATGTGCTTTAGAAATATATCTTCACATAGTATCCATTAATACATAAAATATGTCATTCTCATCTATTTATTAAGATATAATCCCTAAAGGTTAATCTATTTTGATTGCAATAATTATAAGTAAGAAATAAAAATATTAGTTTATAAAAATTCAAAACCTTTTCATTTTGGACTTATTCTTCCCCAAATTACTGCAAATTAAGAAAAACTGAATTATAAAATATAATGCCCATTTTTCTCATACCTCTATTTTTCTGTTTCTATGGAAACACTGGCAACTATAACAAAATTGTTTAAAATTAAGTAACTTGTCAATAATCCAGAGACAATCTAACAATAGCCTTGAAAGTATACAGGGAGAGAAAATCAGTATATGTGTGCACATAGAGAGATTAAATCAGCAATAATCATAAAAGGTATCAGTATATGATACATGCCCAGTCTGCAAAGGATAAAGAACAGCTAATAAGGAATGAGACAACACTGGTGTAATGGCATGTGCCTGTAAACTTAGCACTCGAAAAGTAGAGTGAGGAGGATCAGGAGTTCAAGGTTATCCTCATAACCTAGTTTACATGAGATCCTCTTTCAAGCAAAACACAAACAGAAGAATTAATGACACTAACATAGATATGGCCTGTGGAATTAAGAATTCTATGTTACAATTCATATGTCAAGTAGTTTCAGTACAAGAAAGAGGATGAAAGAGGGGATTTAAGTGGAGAGAGGGATGAAAGGGTATAGCCAAGGGAGCGGGAGAGATAAGGCTAAAAGTCATATAGGCTTCCTAAAATTATGGACTTTTTAAAAAAGTAGTTCCAGGTATGTGGCAAGAAATGCCAGAGAATAGAGAAGAATTCTCTGACTTCATCTGTTGAATAAGACAGAATGGAAAAATAGAACTGATTATTCTTTTAATTCTAAAATGGAAGAGCGCATAAGTATAACCATATGAATTATCCATTGTACATAGAAATAATGAACTTTGAAAATTGATGTGGATCAAAGAATCTCTACTTTATTCCAGAAGTGTCAAACTTCTAACTTCCTTCAACAACGAAAATAAATTGTTGTTAAAATAAAAACTAGTGATTCAAAAGTTCCCTGACACAGTATTTTAGAAACAATCACACACAGCTAATTGCTCCTGTATGCTACTTTCAGACAAATCACTTGGTTTCAAATGGAGGTTATGTGAGATGTACCCAGCTTTTCAGACTATCACAGCATAACTCTTCTGAATAAATAATATATATATGTATACGTACATGTGTGTATCTTTTATAAAACTTGTTTACATCAGAAATCACACTGAATACAAATACCTAGCATATCATCATGTGACCCACTGTCACTCTTGACTTGGCTGCTACTTTCCAATCTGAATGAGCCTGTATTTCAGTTTTTTGAATGAGAAGCCAAGAATCTGGAAACACCCAACCCAGGGCCCTCATTATTAGTAATAATGGTGTTATATTTATTAAGCCTAGAAACTATTAACTGCAGGGAATTGTTGTTTATCAGTAATGTCTTTAATTAAATACGACCTCCATGGACAATAAAAGATACCAAATGAAATGTCCAATATGGTACAGAGGTGGCAAAGTTTGAGGTTTGGGTATATTGCTTCTTGGATTAAATGTGTGAATTATTTGTATTTGTAGTTCTAAAAATGTGACTTTCTGTTGGGAAATACATAACACTTGGTAAGATACAAGTGCTTCTCAATTTATTATGTGGTTATAGCTCAATAACACCATCAAAAGTCTAAAACATAATGAATAAAAACTGAATTTAATGCACATAACCTACTGAACATCATAGTTTAGTGACACAGTACATTATAGAGTATTGATTTATTTCTCATGATCATATGGCTTACTGGTACAGCTTGCTGTAAGTGTCCAGTATTCCTAGCAAATACTGAACCACAACACATACCAGTAACCTGAGAATAGATCAAAATATAAAATTGAAAGTATAGTTTTGCTGAATTCATAGTGCATTTATACAACTGTAGTTAAAAAAAAAGGCTAACAGAAATTATACCAGATCAGGGACCACCTCTAATTGCAGCATGTTTTGTTATTCTTTTATCCAAAAGCATTGATTTACAATGGCTGACTAGAACCCAGAGACTGTTAACATGTAATCAACTTTTAACACAGAAAAAATTATAAACACACTAAGATAAGTTTTGCAAAGGTTTTGTAATAATAGATTAAACATTTGCTAGTTTCTAATTGTTACCATTCACATTAACATATTAGAACTTGGTTAAGTATTGATTTGAAGACTCTAATATAGCCCTTCCCTTTATTGTAAATGGCAGTCTGTAATAAACTAAATTATATAATTAATGAATAAAAATTCATGTTGCTCATAGAATTTATTGAGAAATAGTATTTGGAGAATATTAATAACTTAAAGTTGTATTTATTAGACCAGTTTTATATGAAACACTTCAATTATAGGTCTCTTAATATATAGTAAAAAAAAGTCCATTTACAAAATATGAACGTAATTATCTGTGTCTACTTTAAATACATTTTCACATGCCCCCCCAAAATGATGAGTATTTCAAAACTGAATTCTATAACACGTACATTATAAATTATTTGTATTTAACTTATTAAATTACAAAGGATGTTAACTGCTATGGACAGTCCCCTTCTCCTTTAGTTTATTTAATAGCACTATGCACAAAGATTAGAAATTCAAGACCCTTAGCTCATGAGTGCTAAACTCCTCTCCCTTCCAAACAAGCCTACACATTCAAAAGCAAGTATGACTGTTTTTGAAAGCCTTCTCAGACAATCTTGAGCCTCCATTGATTGCCCTTTATTCTTAATTCTTTAAGCCCTTATTCTGTACTTCTCTATATTCCAGTTGTTGATCGTGATGTATCACATATGTATCCCAATTTAAACTCCTGAGACATGTTTACTCCTGGGTCCTGTTTCTATTGGCTCTTTTTATTTTTATTTTAGTTACTGGTTACTGGGAATTGGACCCAGGAACTTGTGCATCTAGTGCATGTTAAATAAGTGCTCTGCCTGTGGTGAGTTATAGTACCAGCCCCTGGGTCCTGTTTCTGTTGTACTCTCTACAGTTCCCATAACTGCAGTGGGCACTGAGTAGAATCTAGAGAAGGAAAAAGCTTGTTAAAGGTCTCAGAAAAAAGGAAAAGAAAGAGAAAAAGAAAAACAATCTCCATTTGTTGATCAAGTTCCTTAAGAGCACTTGCAAAGCAAAGTATCATCTTCTCATATGATCATGACAATTTGTGTGAATATGGCTCTACCTGGCCATACTCATTATTAAAATAATTTTAGATACAATATTATTTCAAACAATTTAGACTTGAATTCCTCAAGAACTTTCCAAACAGAACCATCTCTAAGTTTCAAATCTCTAGTTATCTAGAAGCATGTTAGTTTGTCAGTGCACAAAACAAACAATACACACTGAGATCCAAGACTGTTGTTCAATGGTACCAGTGTCATAGTGTACTGTAAACCCAAGAGCATCTCAAACAAACAAGCAATCAAGACAAAGAATTTTACCCCAAAATATCAGTGAGTTGGCAGTGTTAACAGATTCGCTAAAGTTATCTAATCACAAATGCATCAATATCCATTTAAAAATTCTTTAGCTTCAAAGGGCTATCAAGAACTAAATTTCGCTTTCCCAGTATTGTGCTTCTTTTCCACCACTTCTTTTTAGATGAAAGACCTGACATGGCTTAAAAACTGTCAGGATGGACGTGTCTTAATAAAATAAAGAACCCATCACTTCTTAGCCCCTAGAAGGCACTTCACAATAAAAATTACACATCCATTTAAATTGAATTCATTTTTGAAAGGGGACAGTTGGGAATTGTAAATTTTCTGAAATATTTCCTTTTAAAGAAACAATATATAAAAGCTCAATTAAAATACTTAAAAAAACAAATAATGATGGCAATAGCGCAAAAAAGAATCTCACTTTTCAAAATAATAGTTTATTGTCAAAAAACCTCATAATTCCAGATCCTTATCTAATAGTATCCAAATTCTCATATCAGGTGCCTCATGCTAATTGGGGTGGTGGTGGTGGTGACTAGTTTCAACTATAGGCTACTTCAAGAAGAACAAATGCATCCTAAATATCCTTACTTCTTAAATTTCATCAAATTTTTAAACAGAAAAGTGTGTCATTCTGATTGAAAATACTTTGTAAAATATCTTTCCTCTATCGCCAATCATCTGCTTTCTCTACTTCCAAGTTTGATGGCACTTTGGATGTCAACTATAGTGTGTGTTATTAGTTTGTTTTATTATTATTATTCACACCATTATTATTACTGCTATTCGAGATAACTATCATCTCATTTTTTTGCATGTTAAGAGTCAGAAGCTAGGCATAAAGCTTTCAGAAGTCGTTTGAATATGAGTATAAAGAATACTGAAAAGTAAGGCACTACTCCAGCTATCTTGAGTCATGAAGCAACATGAATTAAATGGGCTTCTGAAAAGCCTGAGGGTCCTGAGACCTACAGTCGGAGCCACAATTAGTGCAAAGAGAAAGGAGCGAGCAGGACACTACAAGAATCTATCCCCAGATCAGGGACTGGCCAAGGGGCATGGCTGTACTTGGAATTATCAGCATCTAAAAAGCAAACCCAGGCCTTAATCACCGACGCCACGTTTCTGGACGTCAGATCACAAAGTGGTGGCTCGGAGAAGGAAACTATCTCGAAGGCATTAACCTCCGGCAGATGTAGGAAGGACGTCAGAAGCTTCTGAAGGAGAAAGCAACGCTTTGCTGTCCTTCTGGGGCCCCGAGACCAGAAAACATCTCCAGCACCAGGCGAGTGCGGTGCCACTACTCACCCCTACTCTCCTAAGGTTCTGCTGTCGCCCCGCACCTTGCAACCCCTGCAGCGGTGAAAACTTTTCCCCTCCCCCGCCGCCGAGGATGGGATCCGCGGGCGCGAGGAGGCGGTCGGCGTTGCAGCTGTTGGAGCAGGGCCAGAGAGGAGCTGCGTGCTGGGGAAGCAGTCTGGTGCCTTGTGCCCCAGGCGCGGCCAACTTCACCACCATCGAACTGGAGAGCCAAGAGGAAGCAAAGGCGGCAGGCCTTCTCACAGCAGTCCGAACTCTCCCGAGGTACTAGGCCCTGGCCTCTGGTAGGACCGTTGCCCCTGGTCCCTTCAACAAGGCGACACCCAGGTTTGATTCCAGTCCCTTGGCCCCCGCGACTACAGAACAGTGGCGGCTCCCTCTTGGGGCCGCGGTCGCAGCTGCATCCTCATGCTCCTCCTCCTCTGGCGCCACAGCCTACACACTCAGCCCCGGCGCAGTTACCACTAGGGCGCCTGGACCGCCGTTTCTTAGCAACCGCGCGCATGCGCCCCACCCTCGCTGGGGACTACTGGCGCTGCAGAAGGAGCTCAGACCAACTGGTTCGCGACCTAGAAAAAAAAAATGTGCAAAACCCCACTTCCTAGGCAGTAGGTGAAGCAATGTCAATATAAGACAATGGTGAGGAGGGGTCCGGGATGCTCTGAAATTCGAGAGGCCTTGAGACTTGGGATAAGAGTGACTCCCAGTCACTGAACAGGTATCTGGGCTATGGAGAATGCCTTTACACAGTTTCCCTGCAATCTTTTCTCATATTTCTATCAGTGATCTTTGTAAAACTCTCATCTCTCGCTTGCCTCTGGTTAAGAGAACTGGCTGTTGGAATCAGACCCAATTTTGTATTTCTACCCTACCATTGGTTAGTTCTTTTCCTTGAGCTAGGATAATTAACCTCTGAATCTGTTTCTTTTATCTGTAAAATGAGAATTAGGGTACACATAGAATAATTATAAGGATAAAAAAAGAGAGTAAAGTGCTTAAAATACATAACCTACTGTATCACAAAGTACTTAGTAAAGAGGAGCTAATTTAAAAATGGTTCATCATTGCACATATTGAGGAGGAAGTACACACTCTCTAGCTTAACATTCTAGTTTAGCAAAGTCCTCTAAATGAAGTCTGATTTCATTCTAACACCAGCCCTTAGTCACAGAGCCATAGTTTGCAGTTTCTGAGATACATACAAATCTATAAAATGCCTACGTATATTTCTTCAGGGTTCGTCTGGGCAAGAATTGTATATGAACCCTGTAGTTAATGAATATTCAGTGATCTTTCCAAAACCACACATGTTAATATTAAATTACTGATTCTAATAATTGACATGTAATCAGTGACTATATACAAACATTTTTGTATCGTTTTCTGATGGCTTACTGACCTTATTAGTGCTTAAAGTTTCTGTGATTTGTAATTATAAAACTAAAACATGTAATCAGTTTTGAATATAATCAATGCATAAACATATTTGCAAAATATGCCCTGCTGAATGTTAACGTAATACAAGATTTAAGCACTTTAAGAAGTGTAGAAGATTGCTATACCATGTAGTAAGAACTCTACAAAGTCCTAGATGTGCTAATGAAACCTAACTGGAGTGCTCAAATGGACTCAGATTTGAAGTTGAATTTTATGATAAACAGATAACCAGGAAATATTAAAGAGAAAGAACAATTCAAAAGTTGAAAAAGACTAAATCATTCTAGCAATAGATAAGTTCCAAATAAAAATAATCAACAAGCTGTACTCAATGGAGAAGAGCAATAATAGGGAATATGTATCTATGCAATTGTCAATGTGACAATGAACTTGAAAATAATTCTTACACTGATGACTTTCTATATGGTATAAACATACCATTCAGCTTCAAAGTAAGATATTTTCCTAGTGTTCAGCCTTTTCCAAAGATTATCAATAATCTTGTGATGGTTTGAATGATAATGTCCCCCATAGGGTCCAAGTATTTGGACATTCTGTCCCCAAGTGGTGGCACTGTTTTGGGAGGTTTTAGAAGGTGTGGCTATCCTGGAGGAAGCACATCACTGGGGGTGGGCTTAGAGAGTTCTTAAGCCTTGCCAGGTTGCCAGTCACGCTCTTGCTTCCTGTGCCTGTGTGATGATGCGAAAGCTTAGCTTCTGCTGTGCCTGGTCCAGCCACCTCTAGCCACTATGCCTCCCTGCCATGATGGACTGTAATTCCCCTGGAACAGTAAGCTCAAATAAACTCTTCCTTCTATAAGTTGCTCAGGTCAGTGTTTCTATCACAGCAACAGAAAAGTAATTAATATAGTAATTGGTACCAGAGAGTGGGCTGTTGGCTGGATTCAGGCACTTTTAGGCAGTCTGGAAAGTTCTGGGCCCCTACTAAAGGGCATCAGTAAGGGGAGCTGCAGACGGTCCTAATATAGGGGGATGGGCATGGCATGATTTGGAGCACTCACTTCCATGTGGACCTAAGGCGGTAGTCCAGAGATTTGGGGTGCTAAGAGAAAAAGCGGGCATGTATCCAAGGCTAGAAGAACAGGATGTGGGCTCAGGGAAATTGAAGTTGCTCAGGTTATAGGGGAGTCAAGGCACAGTGGGCAGGATCAGACTTAACAGGGAAGAAAGCTTGTCTCAGGAATCCAAGGCAAGTTGTGGGGGATGGAAGGATAGTCATGGTAGAAGCCTGGTTTCAGGAGTTCAAAGACAAGTTGGGGATTGGGAACAATTTTTGAAGACTCTAACAAACTAGACTGAAAAATTGAGCTGGTCTGAGTGCAGGGGTCCAGGACACAGTAGGTGTGTCTGGACTAAGGGTATTCCAGATAATATGGGGTGCTAAGAGCAAAAGCAGACCTGTGCCCTAGGCTAGAAGGAGAACAGGATGTGAGCAAGATTCTTGTTAACGCTGCTCAACAGAATTTCTAAGGAAGACCAAAATGATAAGATATCAAATATCCAAGGTCTTGACTTAAGTTGTAAAGTTTCTCAGAATGGCAAATATTTTAACACTATGTTTATAATAGTTCATCACTAATGTTGTTTCCATTCCAACTCCTCTAAGGAAGCTGCCTCCGACCTATCAATGCAAATTTATATCACAACATATTTAATTTGTCTTCCCATTGTCACTTTCTAATCCTTTTACTTTTGGGGGGGGGAGTCCTCTCCAAGTTTTTTCAGCTATTATTCCAAATCTTAGCCATTCTCCACTGTCATTTAAGATTTTATCAGTTACTTATCAAACCCATCACCTAATCTTATTCTCTAACTTTTTAAAAAAGTAAGATAAAACTAATAGGAATTTTCTCACCTACAATTTGTATGTGTTCCCACATCATACCTTTATTTGTTCAGTTTCACATAGACTACATTAAACTAAATCTTCCAGCTTAATTCCTGATGCTGTCTCATGCAGCCTGTTGGAGTTCTTACTTTATCACCTTTCCTTTCTCTCCCCAATAACTTATTGATCTCCCTTTCAGCTGAATTGTTCTTATCTTATAAACATACTCAATGCAATCTCATTCTTGGAAGAACTACTCTTGGAAGAATTTCCTCTGATTTTGTAGAAATGTCTTCATACCTAGAAGCTATGAATGTGGCTATCACAAATTGTTCCTCTAGTCTTTCATTTCCCATTCATCTTTAAAATAGAGTAGTAAGGGTTTCAGTTCCATTTCTATACTAAAATGTTGTTTCAAGAACACCAATTGCTAATTTCTCTCTCTACAGAATCAACACTTTTTAGCTGCTTTCTATTGAACCTTTCTGACACATATGACAGTATTGGTCATTTTCATCTGATTGAAATCCTGTGTTCACTTGACTTTCAGACATACATTCTTCTTTCACCTTTTTTATTTTTATAGGTTTTATGGACTCTTGCCCACTCCTTATATGTTAGATCCTTTCTGCAGTTCTGCCTTTAGCCTACTATCTTCTTTTCTTCTACTCTCAAAATGTTTTTCTGTTCTTTTTAGACAAGATTTCTCTGTATAACACAGGCTGTCTTTGAACCTGCGGCCTGCCTGTGCCTCCAAATTCTTGGATGACAGGTGTCATGCCTCGTATACTCTCTGAACTTTATTACCTGTACATGGATGAATTTTAAATCCATATTTCTAGCCAAGACCTTCTCCTGAATTTATATCAGGAGTAGTTCTGACTGGATCCAACTCCCTGTTCGACATACTCACCCAGGTGGCCACAAGCCATTCAGTTCCATGTGTCTATACATGGACTTTTCATTTTTCTGTATTAATGAACTCTTTTTCTTTGTTATAGTAAATTCCCAAAACAATTCTCCAAAAAGAATCTCTGGTATCATCACATAATTATTTCCCTTCACACATAATCAATAGGTTTATGGTCATTTTATATAAGTTAAGCAAATATTTCTATGCTTTTGCCTGAAAAATAGACTGAAAATACTCCCAAGTAGCATAAATTCAACAGCATGGAATACACAGTGAGTTAAATTCCAGTTGAGATCCTGTCTGAAAGAGAAAAAAATAGTAAATGTTCTATGATTGGCTGAACATATTTAGGGGGTAGGAGTAAACAAGCTAGATGAAAAAGACCATATTTTGCTATGTAATATTTAAAAGGAAAGTTGTTTCTAACTACAGGGGCAATCTAGGTGGGGGAGCCCTAAAGAAAGAGACAGGAGCAAGAGAAAAATGGTGTCACATAATAAGGTTCATATTGAACTTTCCCTGTTACTTTCAAATCATTAATAAGGTTTAAAATGTATGTAAAAGCTGTTGTACATTGATTTCTTTTTAATGTATATTTTTATTTAACTTTTGTGCATTTCATACAAGTATTAATCATATTTATACCCCCTCTGCCATCTGCAACCCCCCCACTGGATTACATGCATTCTGTCATATATGTTAAGGCCTATTAAATCAAGCTTTTGTACTTAGAAGTCTCTCAGTGCAAGTTCATCCAGTGGAATCTAGTCAGCCTCTCTAGAGCCACTCCCCTTAAAGTTCAGCTCTCTTACACCCAGCAATAGTTTTGACTAGTTTCTCAGTTAAGATTGGGGCCTGCTTCCCATTTCCCCATGTTCTATCCTTGGATTTTGCCTGATGGTCTTGTGCATGCTGTCACCATTGCTGCAACTTCATATGAGCAAGTTCCTAATGGCCTGGAAGATTCTGTTTCCGTATGTTCATGCACTAACCCTGTATCTTACAATCTTACCAGCAAAGCTTCTTCATGCAACAGAGTGTGATGCACACAGAAGACCACAATTGTAGAGAATAAAAGACTGCAGAGCACGTGTCCCTGGACAAGATTCCTATATTAAACTTCACCCAACTATGGCTCAGGGACCATTTCAGAAGATGGGGAAAATA